AAACCACCTCTTTATTTAATTTATAAAATTCGAATGAAAATAATTTACTAATACTGACAATACTAGGGACTATTAGATGTATTTTCAATCTGTTCGTGGCGACGACCTCCGTGGTCGAGTGGGTTATACGCCGGGTTTCATGGTATCGCCGACTCGAAAGGTCCCGGGTTCGAATCCCGGTAGGGGCAGATGTTTGTGTGATGAATACGAGCATTGTACTCCAGTCATGGATGTTTAATAATGTATTTCTATATATAAATATACGTACTGTGTATGTATTTTATCCGTTACCCTAGTATCCCATAACACAAGCCTTACAGTGCTTACTTTGGGGCTAGACTAATTGGTGTGAGTGTTGGAAATATTTATTTATTATTTTTATTTTGTTTCAGAAAACACGATAAATCAATTATATTCCTACCTCACTGGACAGGGAGTAATTAATGACACATTCAACTTTGTATGGAGGTTGGTAGTCTAGTCTCCGACAGACTCCTATATAGCGTATTTTTACGGCATAGCATGTAGTGCACCTAATTATAAATCGTTTCACAAAAAAAGTTGAATTGATATTATCACCATTTTTTTTTCTAATATTATAATTCCAAATGACATAGTTATTGTTTGGTAATTGACAAGTTTTTGGTTTATTCATGTATTTTTACAGCAAATAACGTTTATTTATTTATACTTTATTACCATAAAAACAGTAAATGGCGGACTTAGTGCCATGGGCATTCTCTACCAGTCAACCAGTAAAAGTGTAGGAGATGAAATGTAATGGCGATAGAATATGAGCTACCTTAGTGTGGATTATAAAAACTATCTACTACCATTCTATTCAATACGCAACTACAGCAGTGATAATGATTCCGTTCATCTCTTATAATGTTATCAGGTATTTTTGTTTCAAGAAAAAAAAATATCAAAGGACAATGGGCAAAACGCACCCAGCTCCGCCAACAATGTAATTAGTATGAATCGATAGATCTATGAAAAACTAGCCTTTTTTATTATGGCACCAAAAAAAAATAACCTGGGGGTCAAAAGATATACACCTGGGTATGTTCTATATTAGGGGTTAAGGTTTCCGCACATAGTCCTTATAGACGACCTTTGTGTGTAAGTCATGGGGACCGGTTACACACGGGCATATTTAAATGGCTCCTTATAGAGAAGCTCGACGGCGCAGGTGGTTAGCGCGTTCGGTTGCGATCGTTGAAGTTAAGCAACTTCCGCAGTGGTCGGTCATTGGATCGGTGACCAAAAACATCTATCTCGAGTTCCTCCGTGCTTCGGAAGGCACGTTAAGCCGTTGGTCCCGGCTGCATCTGCAGTCGTTAGCACCCGCCAATCCGCACTGGGCCCGCGTGGTGGGTCATGGCCCAATCTCCCTATTTTATCCATAGGGAAGGCCTGTGCCCCAGCAGTGGGGACATTAATAGGCTGATGATGATGATATTTAAATAGCTAAAGAAATTCATTCAATATCAATAGTACTTTCGTTTTATAATATTAGCAATAATAAGTGAGTGAATCATATCTTACTGTACAATCAGATACAAAATACTAAACAACAAAGCCTACCGACTATCCTGCTTGCTTGCTGCTTGCACTTACTGAGACTCCTCAAAACGTCTAACAGGGTATGGGGGTTGAAGGATGTGATATTGCAGTTGCCGTTGCAACTAGTCTACTCGTATGCAGTCCTATGTCTTACATTTTGTGCGCTCCCTGTTATTTCATTGATATTTAACTAACACGCTTTAGAAATAGGAACACGATTATCATCGCGTACGTCATTATAATCGTACGAGCTAATAAAAAATCTATGGATCAATTTAAATGCTCGTACTCAGCACACAAACATCTGCCCCCACCAGGATTCGAACCCGGGACCTCTCGAGCCAGCGACACCATGAAACCCGGCGTACAAACCACTCGACTCGGATATATTAATTGACGACCACGGAGGTCAGATATCCGTTCTATATACTCGTCCTTGTATCTTTAAATATTATGTTCGTTATAGTTACTTTTACCTATGGAATTGTACCTATTTAACTTAAAATAACTAAAGACTCCCGGGATGGAATTTGATGCGCTTTGGCACAAATGATCATGACTATGATACCTTCCAAACAAATGTAGTTTAAGCCGTGGCGGACGTGGGTGCAGTGTCCATGCAATTTTGCCCATTGTCCTTTTCACTACGATTTCACGAATATCGGCCATATTCTCCTCCCCCGCCTGGGAGTGGGAAATAAAAGGCACCAGTAACGCGTTGTTGGGTCATGGGTCATGGCCCATTCTCCTTATCCCGACCATAGAAAAGTCTTATGCCCTGGCTGTGGGTACATTAACAGGCTCATGATGATGAGAAACTGAACATAATTTGATCTTGAAAACTATTACCTCGGATCAATAGTTCGCGAGTGTAGGATGACGAGCTCGATGGCGCAAGTGGTTAGCGCGTTCGACTGCGATTGTTAAAGCTAAGCAACTTTCGCAGTGGTCGGTCATTGGATGGGTGACCAACAATTCACTATCTCGAGCTCCACCGTGCTTCGGTAAACACGTTAAGCAGTTGGTCAGGGTTGCATCTGCGGCCGTTAGCACCCACCAATCCGCATTTGACCCGCGTGGTGGGTCACGGCCCAATCTCCCTATTTCATCCATAGAGTTGGCCTGTGCCCCAGCAGTGGGCAGTAATAGGCTGATGATGATGATGACTGTAGGATAGAATCACAGAACACAGAAAAAGGTTAAAAGGGCCTTGTGGGCGGGGCAGGCTCTCCACATTTATGTGTGAGCAAATGCTCATAACTTGACTAAAACTTGGTTCCGATTGCGTCGTTGCTCTCGGACGAGAGCGCTGATAGGTTCGATTGTTTAATGTCGCGTCGTTTGATTGGCTATTATCTATTAGGTGGAAGTGTAGTGGAGGCGAGCCGGCGATTGGTTGCCGTACAAAACGGTCTTTAGTAACCCTTCTAACCTCTTTCTGTGTTCTGTGGATATAATCAGACTCCTCTTTCCCAGTGGGCACTTTGGGCAAGTGCCCAGGGCCCCGCGATCAATAGGGGCGCCCCTCAGATCAAATACAAAGTTCCTATAGTTCCTGTCAGATCATGAAACTATAACCAATATTTATTACCAAAAAACTGATATAATAGGGATGATGACTAATTTTTTTTCTTCGTTTATCATGTAGATTATCAAAAAGTATTGGACACGTAATTTTTCTTTTTTCAGATATAAACATTGCAGAGATATATTAATTTGAAAAGTTGCATGACGTCACGTTTGAGTACACTTATAAGTGAAAATTCACTCAAAAGTGACGTCACGAGCCCCTACTCCCAAACTTTGACGCGCTATAACTTTGTCATTTTTTGGTTGATTGCCCAAAGAAAAAATACGTGTCCATTTGATTTGATTGATCATCTAACTGACGGACTAAATAGAATTTCGGTTACTATACCCCGTCATCACCCCTATTCGATGATTTCGAACCTAAATGACTGACTACAAAACCAACTCAGTAGCTTTTACATAAGCGAAGCTATTCTACTCTCGCCCAAAAATTTGGCTTTCCGACTTCAGCATGCTTAGATGAATTTAAATATACATAAATATATAATGGTATACTAAGCACATACACATTTTAAAGAAAAATCATTATTATACTCTTTATTGCATCATACAGTTCAAAACATATAGTCAAATACATAGTAAGCAAAGGTGGGCTTATCTCTAAAAGAGATCTCTTCCAGCCAACCTAGGTGGTGTCGGAGATTCAAAACTTAGCGGGAAACAGAAAGTGCAATAAAAATTAAACTAAAAATAATTTATTACTACTGTTATAGGAAATAGACTTAATAAATAATAGTTGTATATATATATATATATATATACTATACACATTATACAATACATATACCTACATAAATAAACTTGCATAAATATACATAGATAAATACAATACCTATCTAAATATACATAACATACATATAAGCCTGATAAATAAATAATAATAAGAAACAAGATACTTCGTGAGAATGATTCATTAAGTTTGAGATTTCTGTTTGAGAAAATGATCTTTGACTTTAGACCTAAACGAGAAGATGGATCATCAGTACGACTCGCTCCATTTCAAGTCATAATCCACATCAAAGTCATAGGGTCCTCATAATCCTAATATGCCCAGCGCCTCCAATAGGTTAAAGACGGCCCTGGATCTTAGATTAAAACAAAAAGGGTAGATACGGCACTAGCCTCACAAAAGTGATCCGCACCAATTGTGGTCCACGACCCTAATCGCTTTAGTCACAACTTGACATGCAAACGACATACATGTGAACGCCAAAAAGAAATATTGCTAATATTTTGTGTTTATATGATAAAACAACCAACAACAAACAACAACAAATAAAACCCACGGCATCACTTTTCATTCGTAAGTACTATAAAATATATTTTTTCATAAAAATTGCTGTTTGTTTTGAATCTTATTCGGTAGTGACGTCGAGTACTGGTCGCCTGATTGGTCGGTAATGCAGTGACGCGGATCTCGCCATCTCGTTTGCGCTGCCGTTGAAACTTAACGTGCTGTTTCGTTCGGGTCGGTAATGCAGTGACGCGGATCTCGCCGTCCCGTTCGCGCTGCCTTTGAAACTTAACGTGCTGTTTCGTTCGGGTCGGTAAATCAGTGACGCGGATCTCGCCGTCCCGTTCGCGCTGCCTTTGAAACTTAACGTGCTGTTTCGTTCGGGTCGGTAATGCAGTGACGCGGATCTCGCCGTCCCGTTCGCGCTGCCTTTGAAACTTAACGTGCTGTTTCGTTCGGGTCGGTAATGCAGTGACACGGATCTCGCCGTCCCGTTCGCGCTGCCGTGGGATCAGTTTTTGTTTGATGCAAGTATGAGCGTACCGTATCTACCCCTTTTGTTTTAATCTTAGCCCTGGATATAATTAATATAACTTTAAAGAATCCTCACCTTTCTTAGAAGACTTAATGGACAGGAGGAAATTCTCCTCTTTGGCAGCAGCTGTATTTGGCACAACCAACACTTTATTCTCCGCCAACAATTTCTCCTCCGCGTCTCCCTCCTCCACCACGGAGCGGATGGGCGCCGACGCCATATTGTTTATACTACAGCTGCAGCGAATGCGTAATGGCGGCTATAACAAGATGGCGTCACTGGTGCATGCTACAAATGGAATGTGCTAAATTCCTCTTAGACTATGTGCTACATAGCATAAAAAATCAGTCTTCTGTTTGGCTGGCCTCGATTTATCTGAAACAAAGAAGGTATTTTTATATTATATTGTTGCCGTAATGTAACAGACAGAATAACAGAACAGAATGGAATAAACTATGATGTTTTAAAGTTATAGATACGTCATGCACGCTTCTAGTTTAGCAATACGAAAGTCAGGTAATTGCCCGATTTGCATTCAGTCTGGCACGCTCTCTCGCCGCGGCTACACTTCGCAACAATGACGTGTACATATTCTACGTTTTTTCAGTCAAAAAGCCCTATGTGTGTACACATAATGCACGGGAACTATTAGAGACAAAAAAGTGACATTTCATTCGTAAAAACAGATTTGTTATAAATTGATAGTACAGTAAAACCCGTTTAAGACGATTTCACAGGGACTCAACCAAAAACGCGTCTTAAGCGAGAAAGCGTATTAAGCGGGATAGGGAACTTTTGAATGTAAGTATTGAGGTATTAAATGTATGTACAATATTTAAGAATTATGTATGTTATAAAAATGTAGTATATTATTAAGTTTCTTGAAAAAGATTTTGAGGCATTAGCAATTACAAAATTTTAAACATAATTTAACATTTGCAGTCATTCTTCGCTTTTATTCAAAGAAGTTACATAGCGTCTTAAATCATTAACTGCTGATTATGCCTGGGAGTGTGGCAAAATCATCTTCTTCTTGATCATTATCACTTAGTTAGGTTAGGTTCTTCTTGTGTGTTATTCACATTCTCATTGAATTTTATGCTGCCGCAAGAGGTAATATGTGTGGTGCGTGTTGGTGATTTGGGCGTATTAAACGGGATGAAGAATCGTATTAAGCGTTAAGAAATGTATGAAAACATATCTCAATTTGCAGGGACTGACGCAAAATGGCGTATTATGCGAGAAATCGTATTAAACGGGTTCTACTGTAATTACTTATTTTGACAGTAGACACCGTTGACACGTGAAGGATAAAGAGCGGAATGTAATTGCTTATTGAATGAGTGTGAAAGAGACCATTTTAATGCGCTCTATTGGCGGCTGTTACCAAGGGAAGTTGGGGCGGGGACCACACTTGTGCTAACTTCGCAGTCGTCATTTAAATCACATTATAGTAAGCAATAAAAACCCTTCACTGTTGTATGTCATAGGATGATTTGATAAATCTATTTTTCGTAAAAACCTAGATATTTTGCGAAAACACGGATAATAGGGATGACGACTTTTCTTCGTTTATCAGGTAGATTATCAAAAAGTATTGGACACGTATTTTTTTCTTTTTTCACATAATATAAACATTAGAGATATATTGATTTGAAAAGTCGCATGACATCACGTTTTTATACAATTTTCACTTAAAAGTGACGTCACGAGCCCCTATTCCCAAACTTTGACGCGCTATAACTTAGTCATTTTTTGGTTGATTGCCCAAAGAAAAAATACGTGTCTATTAATTTTTGATCATCTAACTGACGGACTAAATAGAATTTCGTTTACTGTGTACCCCGTCATCACCCCTATTAGACAATGATGATGACATTTCTCAATCTTACTAAATAAAGGATGAAAGTAGGACTTTTGCAGTAAGACTGCGAATAGAAAAGTAGGCTTCTTTTTAAATACTTTTGTGTTCTCAGGTTCATACAAGGTTAGGTTATTCTGAAATTGAGAAATGTCATTGCCATTATCTAATTATTCACGTTTACGCAAAATCTCTAGGATTTTCGCAAAAAATCGATCATATCAAATCATTCTACGACACAACACAAACAAAATCTTTAGATAAAAGCAAATCTCTCTTTGAGTCATAGAAAACTCTCACTACCGTTTACTAAATCTTTAGTAAAAGAAATCTGATAAGCGGTGATAGGAGGCACTGAGATCTATTTGGATTAACTTTGAAGTGGCTGTGAGTGCTATGTGACTAGGGTTACCATCCGTCCGGATTTATCCGGAAATGCCCGGACTTTTGCCTTTTATCCGGACTTTGATAGGCTTTTTAATTTGTCCGGATTTTTTTAATTAGACGTAATATGTGTAAAACTACTTATTTAGTTATATGTAATGAGTCATTTTGCCTCTTGTCCGGCTTCTTAATTTGTCCGGATTTTTTAATTTGATGTAATATGAGTAACACTACTTATTAAGTTATATGAAATTAGTCAAATAACCTAATTAAGTTCTCATTAATTTAAAACAAAATAAAAAATTATCTTTTTGATTTTTATATAATTGTAAACCTGATTATTACTTAAAAAATGGTTGCCTGTAAAGTCGGTTTTACGGGCGAAGATTTTACGTGACAACGTCTTTTTCTCGGTAGAATATTTATTGATATGAATATAATTAAATTGCACAATAGGAACAAGGAATTGAATGAAAATAAGAATTGCACAAATTTTAACTATAGAAATATATTTTGTTTACTAAAACATTGTACATGTAAACCTAAACTTAACACGAGAGACTCATCGTAACGTTACCGAGCGTTACACTTTTTCATAAGTGACTCCCAGCCGCAACCTAATTTAAGACGTTGTCACGTCAAAAATATTGTATACCTTGTAATAAGGTCGAAATGTAGTGACACTAAACTTTTTAACTAACACCAAATTGCTGTACTAACCTACATTTAACAATAAATCAATTGAATTTATAAATCAACAACGAGACCCCCTCTGTGTAATATCATTGTAACTAAGTGGGTGATGTTTGCATTTTGTGACTGAAATATCCGGACTTTTCGAATTTTTAAATAGTTACCCTATATGTGACAGACATCATAAGCAGTTAAGTAAAGTCACTTCTTCGCTAACCATCTCTTATCTATTAGACAAGTCCGTCCGTCCGTGGTGCTGTTTCAGCGGCCAAACCGTAAGAGATAGATAAAGAGAATGTTTAAGTTATAAGTTAAGAATAGTCTGATAAGACTACAAACCGGATTTGAGTAACGTAGCACTTCCAGTTTTCGAGAAATCACGTATTTCAAACGAAACCACACAAAATCTCCGAAATTCTCAATTAATTAAATACTTTTTTTTTTTGTGAACATGTCGTTCACTGGTTTGCTAGTTTTATTCTATTTTAATTTATTTATGACATAAAAGCAGTGGAACAAATGACGATTTGACGACCTCCGTGGTCGAGCGGTTTGTACGCCGGGTTTCATGGTGTCGCCGACTCGAGAGGTTCGAATCCCGGTGGGGGCATTTGTTTGTGTGATGAATACGAGCATTTGTACTCCAGTCATGGATGTTTAATATGTATTTCTATAAAAATATATACTTAAATATGTACAATAAATGTATTCTATCCGTTGCCCTAGTATCCAATAACACGATCCTTACAGTGCTTACTTTGGGGCTAGGCTAATTGATGTGAGTGTTGGAAATATTTATTTACTTATTTACAATTCTTATATGACAAACAGTATTGTGATACAGGTGTCATCTTAAGTTATTATCTTAATAAAATCCAATATTTTATTTCTACGCCTCCGCCGTTTCATAGTAGCCCCCTTCGATCGACTTATCGAATGTCTACATTTCTGCTTCACATGTAATATGATTACTTCACGGTTCCTTGCTTGTCTGTTACGCTACTGGCTAAACATTTTACAAGAACCTATACTAAACTAATATCTATAGACGGACGGAAAATGGAATGCTATGCCCGTTCACGTGTTCGCTTCCTCCTATAAACCGGGGTCCTTTAAAAGGGGCGTGAAGAAACAACTTGCAAGTCTCAGAGAAGCTCTCTAGTTGAGCCGACCAGGCCGAGAGTCGTCCAGGATCTCAGATTGGAGTGGTCTAGAGGCTCTAGACGGAGAGGAGACTCCCCCCGTGAGAAGATGCCATCCGCCTGGAAGACCTCTAGAGGCACTCGAGAATTCTCGGCTTGAGGTCCCCTTAGGATCTCGCCGTCCCCAAACCTTTCGCTTGACCGATTTTTATGAAATTTTATATACTAGCGGACCCGACAGACGTTGTCCTGTCTACACGTCTTTGTGAATCTAAACCATTCTCAGATCCCCTTGAACACACACAAAAAATTTCATCAAAATCGGTCCAGTCGTTTAAGAGAAGTTCAGTGACATACACACTCACAGAAGAATTATATATATAAAGATTCAGTAGGTCTGAGAATCGGCTACTACCTATTCTTCATAAATGTAAGTAATAAGGGTTGCCAACCCCTTACATTTTTTTTTATAAATTGCTATTAAAAAAATGCACACAACCCTAAATTTTCATCATTCTACCATCAGCCCCTATTTTTATGGCGGTACTAAGTTCGCTGGGTTAGCTAATATATAATATAATGTATATTGTTATTTTTGAATCATTCAACTGCTACATGTTTAAACCTAAAGAAAAATCTTACTAGAAATCATTATCATTTATTATTACTGTTAATGCCGTAACATCTTTTTCCTGGGAAAATATTAATTTAAACGGACTTTCTACAGTTAAAAAGGACATGTAACGCATAACACAGTGATTGTCGAACTAACAAATCAGTTTTAGCAAGTAGGAAGTTTAATTAGCGAGAAAAAAAAAGTCATTTGGGTCGATTGGTCATAGCGATTGTTGACGGTGGCAAAAATTAATTAACTTTTAGTTCAATTCAAAAGATAAGGCTGTTATACTTAACTAGCTGACAACCTCCGTGGCCGAGTGGTTTGTACGCCGGGTTTTTAAGTGTCGCCTACACGAGAGGTCTTCGAATCCCGGTGGGGGCAGATGTTTGTATGGTGAATATGAGCATTTGTACTCCAGTCATGGATGTTGAATATACAATATTTATTTCTTGCGCTACCGTACACAAACATGACAATTTATATTACATTAAAAATTTATCTCTCAGAAAAATCAACTAACATGAATCACATTTAAGCGCACCTAGCGACATCTATTGTAAAAAAAAATCCTTTTCTTCGCAAATCAATTCATTTATTTCGACCAAACAAGGATCTAAATCGTATATCAGATAATATGTATTTCTATATAAATATACTTAATGTATTCTATCCGTTA